ATATCTGGGCAGCATCATCGACGAGAAAGGTGGATCGGATGCAGATGTAAGGACGCGGATTGGCAAAGCGATGGCTGCATTTCTACAGTTGAAAAATATCTGGAACTCCAAACAACTTTCAACCAAAACCAAAATCAGGATTTTCAATACAAATGTGAAGACAGTTCTACTGTATAGAGCGGAAACTTGGAGAACTACGAAAGCCATCATCCAGAAGATACAAGTGTTTATGAACAGTTGTCTTCGCAAAACACCTCGGGTTCGTTGGCCAGACCATCAGCAACAACGAACTGTGGGAGAAAACAAACCTGATTCCAGTGGAGGAGGAAATGAGGAAGAAGCGGTGGAAGTGGATAGGACACACACTACGAAAAGCGCCTAACTGCGTCACGAGACAAGCCCTCACATGGAACCCTCAAGGCAAAAGGAAAAGAGGAAGGCCAAGGAACGCACTACGCCGAGAAATAGAGAAAGATATGAGAGGAATGAATAAACATTGGACAGAACTGGAGACGGAAGCCCAGGACAGAGTTGGTTGGAGAAAACTGGTGAGCGGCCTATGCTCCATTGGGGGTAACAGGCTTAAGTAAAAAAAAAGTAAAAATTAATCTCCTCTAACTACGCAGCCGTTTCCAAATTCGTCATTCCTAGTGACTTGTCTTGATTAACCTACGCAAGTACACGTTCTTATGAAGAAAAAGGAATATTGGATTGTTCATACATTTGTTTGTTCCACTAAAATGTTCTGCTGATTCATGACTTATCTTTGAATAGGGATATTTTTCATACTGCTCTTTGCCTCTTCTCTCCATCGCTCCCTCTCTTCACATTATCCTACTCCTTGAATTTTAGCTTGAATATTGCCGAGGACTCAGTTGCTTTTTCAAGAAACCTGTTAAGTATTATCTGGCGAATATCAACAACAAGATCATTACACATTCACATTACCACTTCTTTTTATATACAGAACCGAATTTAACTTGCATTGATTATCAACCGACAGTGGTTCGTCGCGGCGCAACAGAAATAACTCGCGCCCACTGTGATATCGTAAATTCCAGAGTTCGAAACATTCACTTTTGTATGTGAAAAATATTTGCCTTCTATAAAAGGCCAATGAACCTTTCACAAATCTTATCAGCGTCGGAACGACCATTGATCTTCTACACGAAACGCGCCGTACGCATGCTCTCGTCAAAGTTACAGCTTACATCAAGCGCCTTTCAATCGACGCTCTCCAACAAATTGACTCCTGATATGTTCACAGCACCTCAGAACTCTGATGTGTAACCAATCTATTTGTAATCAATTGCCGAAAATGTGGCTGTACTATACTGTCAGAATGACTGTTATCAATAATCTCACTGAGCGACCTTTTACAGCAAATGCGATAACATTTGCAATTATTCGATTTTGCGTGTAAACTGGCATGCCTCAAGTAACCCTGTAATTTGAGAATAAATTCTACCTATTAGTAACCGTTTCAGACATGACAATAAGTACCCTGTGCAACCAATAATGTTGCACACCGCATCACGCCTACAGGAGAACCTGTATTCTCAGAAGCCCGACCACTAGCCTCCAAAAGTCTGGCACGCGCCTAAATTGAATTTCACCACATGATAGTTTTAGAGATCATCCGACTGTCGAACAGCACATAGGCATACGCATCGCATATGTTCCCAGAAAACGTATGCAATAATTGGCATCCATCCGGTGATTATCAACGATTGAACAAGCAAACCACATTCACTTGTTACCCGTTGCGTCAAATTCAAGACTTAACATATACTTTGAAAGGCAACACTGTCTTTTCCAAAATCGAATTCATTGAAGCGTATACCCAAATACCTATGGCTGCGATAGAAATTCTTAGAACGGCAACCACCAATAGCTTTGGATTCTGCGAATTTTCGCGCGTGCCTTCCGGTCCAAGAACTGTTGCTTGAACTCTTCACAGATTCATTGATGATGTATTCACATATCTTGATTTCATGCACACTCAAGTTGATGACTGTCTAATCGCAAGCCCAGACAAAGATTCTCATCTCCAGTATCTGGATTTTGTTTTCCGACAGCTTCAGAATGAATCACATCACTGTTAACAAACGGAAATGTCAAATCAGAACCGATTCCCTCGATTTTGACGCTGAATGTATTCGCTGTCTATGAAATAAAGTAACGGTCATTCGGAATTACCCAGAGCCAACCACAGTCAAGCTACCACACATTTCTTACGGAATCGTAGCTTTCTGATGACGTTTTATGCCGAAATGCGCGTCTCTCATGAGACCCTTAGCCGATTAACTACCTTGAATTACGAGAACCATTATCCTGGAAGACACGTCTAAGAAGGCATTTTCTACAGTGAGAGAACACATCGTTAGGTCAACTATGTTGGCACACATGAACACCGAAACGCTCATTAGATCCACAGTTGACGAATCTGGATCAACAATTGTAATAGTCTTACGACAATGAGTAAACAATACCAGGCAATATTGAATGCTCTTCTCCGGACGGTTGCAGGACACTGAATTGAGATATAACATTCTCGACAGAGAAGTTTTAGCTAAATAGTGTTGTGTGACACTCTCAAGCCCATGTGCAACGCCGAAAATCGACTGTTTTCATAGACCGAAATTGGGGCATTATTCTCCCGGCTCATCTTCATGCAGGTACCTTCCTTGGTAAGTCTAACAAATGGACTTCCTCTCTCATATTACTTTACTTAGGACCGTAACCCAGTTTGGATTGGGTACGTTTCCCTCCTGGCGTGTGCAGATTGTTCTGTTTAATAGCCAGAAGCATTACCTATCCAAAATATTACAGCTGGAACGGTCTCTCAGGCTGATGGTTCCACAGACGAATGAAGATCTCATTGTCAACTGCCAATGTGGCACAGTGAAGCGAGGATTTTTCGATCCTGTCGATTCGGAATTCACAATGTAATGAAAGCCTATGTTGGATTAAGCGCAACCAAACTCTTTTACGGCACTACACTTCGCCTCCCGGACGAGTTCAGTGATTTACTTCAACAGAAACAAATCTGTTTACAAACTCAGTGCGCTCAACTTAACCTGTTTCTGTTTGACTGATATTTTCGTCCAACCACCCTTTACCATAGTGCACACATTTTCCTACCCTTAAAGGTCATCATGCAGATCTCCTTGAGGTGCACCATGCAACTCATCTCATCTCTCGCATGGACTAGCAACCTTAGTTTATTCACCAAAGATATGTCAACTATATTCCAAATTCACGCTTTTCATCCTAATTCTTGACATATGGTTTCAATCGGCTCTGGGTATACTCGATCTGAAAGGTGTTACGGAAAAAAGTGTTGTCCGACTCTGCAAATTCATTAGAGTTAGTAGGGCTTGGTGATTGAAAAATTCAAAAAGTGTTGAACAAATGACATTTAACTGAAAATAAACGATCGGAAGCAAGTGCAAAGAAATCAATCCATTTTTACCCAAGCTCATCGCACAGATAGTGGATATTGAATACTGCGCAATTCAGTGATCTCGGTACGAGGTCCGACGTGTTTGCTTCGTGGAGCTTCAGTTTTGCTTTGTCATCTTAACATTGGTTGTTCGGAAAATAATGATTATTATATAATTTAGTATCAAATAATGGATTAAATTTGTGTAGTTCGTCAGTTTGTTGACGGATCACGATTCCTCAGATGAATCTTTATCTCTCGAGATGACAACGTTAGCGTTACATGCTGTTAAACTGACAAATAGTCATTCTCCTATCTTTTAGCTGGAAAAGCCTCATGTTACTAACCTTTTGTTTAGATGCTTGCAAACTTTTATTGACGTCATTCATTTTTATTTTTCACTATGCTTCACCATTTATCTCTTCACCGTATCTCCGTCTTGTTATTTTTGTATTCGTTTTTTCGGACAGGTTTCAATATGGGTGGAGGCTCACTAATGCTGGAACACAATAAATAAGTATATATCCCACCCGAATTATTTACAAATATAATGTGATTCATTAATAACTCTGTTAATATCACAATGCAACAGAAATCTTATATGTCCTGTAGTTCTCTTATAACAATTACTTCAAACCTTTGATATTTTGTCTAGTTCAGGTTTTTAACAACAAGTGAGGCAATTTTCACAAAGGTCTCAGGTAACCACTTCCAACTGGCAGCTGTCAATCAAAACTAAAGTTTAAATCATTCTACTACCAACTCTAAAATCCCAGTATTTCGTTAAGCACCTTATTTTATTACTGATGACAAGTATATATTTAATTTGGACTTCGAGTATATTGATTTACTTTCTGCATTGTAGGATGTACCTCATCACGTTTGATTATACCTAAACTCATAATCAACCTCCAAATTTCGACCATTTGTCACCATTTTTCCTGTAAACAATATGAAGTTTCTGCAACAGCACTGTGATCGGGATTTAAAATGTGAATAGTTGCATATCTTCATAGAATCTGATCTAATGGAGTTGTGTGAGTCCATTGGTGAACTATCTAACAGTTCAGAATGTTTATTGCTGAGAGTATTCAATCAGAAACCGATAAACATCAGGTTTTCTACAGAAGAATCTTTATTCTTATACATCCAAAAGCTGAAAAGCTTGCTTGATTCGGCTGTTTTTGTTCATAATTCAGTGTGCTTATCAGCCAATTCCACCAACGAGCATTCTTGCAAAATGATCGAGTCGTTTAAGGAACTAAAAGATAATCTAAAATCTGTATCGCTCATAGTATTTTTTGGCCTCGATAATGATACATATAATCACACCCCTACTCTACAGATTTCACACCAACGTTCTGTCGGCTATTCCCATCACATACCGATAGATTTGATTTGCAGTTTTAGCGACAGTGAATTAACTCACAGAGCTCTGTGCGCAAAATTATCTACATTCTTGGATAGCTACCATCGTGCTCTTCTGTTTCTTTGGAGGGAATTAAAATCTCCTCCTAAAACATTAATGTCTTACCACTACGTGGTTAGGTCCTCTATGTACAGTATACGTCTTCCATGGAGAATTGAAGAACCACATGAAAGAATTTGGAGGGAGATCATTCATAGGAGTATGTTTTTTAATCCTGATGTCATTTTTGTTTATTTTTACTCAGTAATTGTAACTTTATATGCTTAAACAGAAATATTTCACTTATTTGTTTCTAAGATCTATATGATACTAGACAAGTGGTCCCGTAAGAAGAGCAATGCTTCTTCAGGTACCTTGAAAAGTTTAGATTAACACTATTATGGTATTTATTGTTGATAACCAACTTTCAGGTAGGAAGGATTTATTAAGATAAACATTTGTGTACAATATTGTTTATTGTATGAACCTGATTTACAGGAGATATTTGGATCAGAATTCTTCAGAATTTTTATATCACCTTACTATCAAGGGATCCACGAACGATTTCTATGTTTAAAGAAGAAATAAACGTATTCTAGGTGACTTGTTTTGGCTTATGAATAAGACTTTAGTTTGGAATCGGCTGTACATCGTACAAGAATAATCCGTAACCTTTCATCATTGGTTGTGATAATTGAACACAAATACTTTCTGAATGTCAGAAATCATTATAGTGTTTCTGTATAACATAAGGGGGAGAAAGTAAACTAGATTTCCGTGTTTTAATCCGATTAGTTGTTCATGTTGTTATGTAAGACATCTTATTTAGTTACCCTAATACCCGATTTATTTACATTACATCCATTCATGTTTCCAAAGAATTCGGTTTTCCAATGAATCCCCCACTCTTCCGACGAGGTCAGGCTTTGCATCCAGTACCTAGAGTAGTTGATTGGCTCGGCCCATCTTCTGAACTGCTTGTGTGTCCCCATGAAGCCGTTAAACAGCCACCCAATGTAGGTTCAACCTACATCGTTACAGGTCGGTATACGTATAAGCATTATCTTCAGGTATGTGCTAACTACATTAGCTTATTACTGATTTATGTTATTGTTATGAAAAGTGGTTTATTTAACTGCATCATAATTCATATAAATTCGCTATGAAATAGTAAAAGAGATGCTAACTGAAATGTATTGTACCCTAATGTTTTTTTTTTCAGTGATATCTTAATTCTTACCATTGAAGTGGGAACATTTAAAAAACTAAGTTGATGCACTCATTAGAATTTATTTGGTAGTCTTCCTTTCTGAAATGAAAATCCTCATTTTGCTTACATTTGATTATGTATTTTTATGAATAACACTTTGAGGTTATTATCCACTTGGCAAAATGCTCACATATATCTTAACTATTATCTAATAAAAAGTACTGCTTAACCAGTAAATGTTTACTAGGGGCTAAGACGTAACTAAAGAGCTTAGCAATCTTATAGATGGACTGGATCATTTCACCTACTTGTTTGCTAAAGCCTAGAGTGTGGGAAGCGGAGTATTAGGTTTTTAACTAAGTTACCGCAACTAATCCTAATATGATTAAATATCCTAATCGCAGGTAAAGTATTTCTAAAACTCGAACAGACTTCATATCTTTCATACGTATACTAATTAGTTGATATTTATGTATTTGTTATAAACTCTAGTTCACTTAGAACCATAATCTAAATCTAATAAGTAACCTGTTTATTAGGGAGATCTTTCTTATTTCTATATTTTCTGACATTGTATTCATAAGTCCTTTAACACTAGGATAATATAAGTACTATCGCATAGTTTAAATTAACGCTCTTTTGTAATGAATATGGTTGAGAGTTTTGAAACTGTAATAATTCGGGAGGACTGTCAAAACATCGACTAGTATTCACTCTTATCGTGACATTTCTTGGATGTGTACCAATTTAAAAATTTTCGGCTGTGTACATTTGTCTCCTGTTTGACTATGTTCGTATCAAGGATGCGTGAAGACTAAATATCTGTAAATTTCTACTCAAATATCATCATGTTTAGACTCAGAAGCTCTGAGTCCTCATATAAACATCTTTTTCAACATTTTCAGGATGGAGTAGATGATAGGAATTGGGGTTGTGCATATCGATCACTTCAAACACTTGTATCCTGGCTTATGTGGCAAGGTGAAATAACTCCAGGTCCACTACCATCTTTAAGAGATATTCAAGCTTCCATTGTACGTTTTGGAGATAAACCAAAAAGTTTTATCGGTAGTTGTCAATGGATTGGTTCGCTAGAGGTATGCATTATATGTGTTATTGTAACAATTTCATACGAATTATGTAACTGCATTTTATACTGATTATCTGTTGCTGTGAATTATGTAGAGTGGTTTTATTCAATTTTTCACAGGCTATCAGGACTAATGATTGATAGCCGCTTGCGATAAACAAGTTGCAAATGTTTAGTCCTTACGAACCTATCTAAATAAAAGTATCACAGTGGCAGTAAAAGAAACTGCCTTACTCAATGTTAACTATGATAACTTTTTTAGAAAACAATATATTTGATGATGTGCTTGAACTTCAAGGTAATCTGAATATCTGCTAATCACTTACTGAATATTTGGGCTTTTCTACTTCACTGATAGGATTTCGATTTTGACAAACAGAAAGTTACACTATCATCATTATCTTCTCATTTCGAAGTGATATAGGTGGTCAGTGTACAAGGATCAGAAGAATATTTGAACTGACAGGCATTTTCACTTATATAGATCAAAACATGAGTTTATTCCAACCCTAAAACATCGTATGTTGCTCTAGTCGCGTCAAAGTTATGAGTCTTTGGTTAATCTTTCTAACAGGATCTTAAAATACGAGCTTTAAGTGATAAATGCCCCTGACCCTTTTAAATAACGAACAGATATGAGACTACGTGATGATAACGAATGATAGTTAAAAAATCTAAATTTATTAGATGGCGGAGCTTTGACTGGACTTTCATCTGATTAGTTGTGCAAATAAATCCCGCTGCATTATCACTGCTTCTCCCATAATTTCAGTCACTTTCTAAATTACAACGTAGAACTTCGTACGTACGTACATCAGTTCAAGTTATCATTCCACAGCAAATCCCACAGTGGTAGAGCTAGCAGAAGTATTCGTGGTAATGGCGAAGATTAGGGTTCGAAGATATTATTCAAGAAGTACAATTGAGTGATATAACTTTAGAAAGAGAATGATAGAGGTGATGAGGAATTCAGAAGATTAGAATTCGAGAAAACAGAGAGAGAGTGGATACACCTGCGAAACTGTTGACGATTTTGAGTCATGTCGTTCAAGGTTTCTAACCATCGGTTACTATTGTCTCGCGGACCCCAACCAAGTAGTCTCATCTACCAACAGATTCAGTGCACTTGTCAGTGACTTCATGGATTTGTGCCATGTCCCAGGGTGAGTGAAGCGGTCAACACGCTCAACCGCTTCACTGCCTATCACTAGTTCAGGTGCCTATGTAAGCCAATCTTGAAGCAAGATTTTGCATTTCGACGGGGAGAATCGCATCTCGAACATGCTTGCATTGTGTTGCTTAGACTAGTCAGAAGACTGCATTTTGTTAGCGTATTCACGAAATAGAACTATGTCATCGGCATTTTCTACGTCAACAAGCGAATCGCCTGATAGAACGTCACCTCTAAAAAGTCAGACGAAGTTAATGTTAACTCTAAACGTAGGTCTACGACAAAGTTAAACAAAAATGGAGAGAGTGGACAGCCCTGATGGACACCACTTAAAGTAACCAATTCCGATGACTGTTCGTCGTAAGCTCTAACTCGACTAGTAGTGTTAGAGTAGAGAGCTTGTCTAAATTTAATGTACTCCTTTGGTGCATCTTTTAATGACAGAAACTGCCATAAAATCACACAATCAACATGGTCAAATGCCGCTTTAAGGTTGAGAAATACTACTATTATGGGACGTCTAAACGTGTGTCTGTGTTCTAAAACCTGACGTACTATGAATGTCAGGTCTGTACTTCCACGTCCAGGTCTGAAACTAGCCTGATTTTCTCTAGTCTGCTCTCCACGATCTCTGGTTAGGCGTTGAAGTATTATCGAGAGTAACATTTGATACACTATATTAGTTAGACTGATTCCTCTGTGGTCGTCACAATAGGACTTTCGTCCTTTTTTATAGATTTGGACAACCTGACCGTAGCTGCTACTTTGACGTGGTGGTCCGGCTTGCCTATCATGATGATCCAACCGAGCTACATTGGCTGCAGCGTATGTTCCTGAAGGTTCTACCATGCCAGCCAGGTTGATTAGAGAATGATGAGATTAAAAGCAGCTACTCAAGGTCTGAGGGCGAAGTGGTACTGCTTACTCTAGAGAAGTGTGACAGCAGTAAGTTGTTTCCCTCGGACAACCAGCATCTGCAGCGATGCTGCCTTCTCACAAGGAAGGACGGGTTAGAAAAGGTCGATCCTAAAACTCTCACGCCTCACCCTACCTCACGGATTTCCGTCACCGTCGGTAAGGGTGCCCACTAAAGGCCTTTAAGAGCGGAGATAACACTCAAAAATCCTTTCATTAATAGGCCCTGCGTGACCGGCCTCAAGCAGTTGTCCTTTGGGCTCTGCGACACACTTTCATGTCTCTAAGACCAACAGTAATGTACCTTCTTTTTCAGGACCCTCAAGAAACAGCCTTCCACGGTCTGGGCAGCTGGGAAGTAACAACCGCCCTCTTAACCGTAACAGCACGCGAGACCATATCAGTTGCAATCAAATTGTTTCTAAACCTCCTAATATCTCTCTTCTCTCCACAACTAACTCTTCTCACATTCCTTTACCACACTGCGCCGCTAATGCAAACGATTCGAGTTCCCGAAACGTAATTCCTGGTCTCCTGAAACTCCGTTCTAAATTGCACGTCTGAGCATTTAATGTACGGTCATTGTTTCAAATAGGGCAATAGGCTTCCTTAACTAGGACATTAGAATCTCGCTCAATCGATGTATGCTGCGTCTCGGAAACGCGCATACAGGATCCTTGTAAAATCATTAATTTGATTTCACCCTATCAGAACAAAGAAGCAGCCCGATTTACTCTTCGTGTATCCGGTAGCCGTGATGCTACTACCCGGGGTCTCGCTGGTGTAGGTATAGTATTGCGTCGTAGAGCAGAACTAGCGCTCCTAGACTGGATCCCAGTAGATAGTCGCTTGTGCGCTGTCTGACTGAACGGGACAGTAAAGATTCGGAAAGATATGGACACTCGCCGTCACCTCTTCGTCATATCTGCCTATGCCCCCACTGACTGTAGTTCAGACGAGGTGAAAGAAAAGTTCTACAGAAAGCTTTCGGACCTACTCCAAAAATTTAAGCGCCATGATGTAGTAATAATGGCTGGTGACTTCAATGCTCAAGTAGATAGATTAAGCGAGCAGGAAAGACACCTAGGTGGATGTTATGGTGTCGCGGCTCAGAAAACAGACAGTGGAGACTGTCTGTTGCAAGTATGCTCAGATAACGGCTTATTTCTAGCAAACACTAACTTTAGGCATAAGGAAAAGCACCTTTTGACCTGACAACCCTCGAAGTCGTCTCAACGTTGGATCCAACTGGATCACATTGCCATCAGCCACCGATGGAGGGGTTCGATAGAAGACTGTCGCTCGTTGTGGGGCACATGTTTAGATTCAGATCATGCCATAGTGCGAGCGCGTATCTGTTTGAGGCTTACTGGACGTAGGAAAGACACCGTAAGGAAGCCTCTTAGGGTTTTACTTAATGATAATATAGTTAAGAATATATTTTAAGGAGCAACTAGATAGAGAGTTAGGCAACCACGTAAGCGATTCCCATCCGGAAGCAGGTTGGAATGATATCAAAAATGCTATGGAAACAGCAGCGATATCTGCTAGTAAGGTAAACCATTAGGCTAGAACGAATCCGTGGATCTCAGTAGTATCCACCGATCTGATGGATAGTCGAAACCTCATCCCATCTGGATCTGAACATGATGAAGAGCAAAGTTAGCTTAAGCACAGGCTGATAAAAAGCCTACGAAACGACCGTGAACAGTGGTGGGTGGCGAAAGCAAAAGCGATGGAAAAGGCAGCGGCGATAGGCAACAGTGGACAACTTTTCCGACTTATCAAGGAAACTGGTATTAGGAATCCTAGTGTAAGTGAGACTATCTCGGAAAAGATGGGACTATTATTTATTCTCAATCCAGGAGATTGGATCGATGGGCAGAACACTTTAGGGATCAGTTCAACTGGCCTCGAGCCACTCTTCGGTTACCCACGATCTCCAGTCATCCTGAATGGCAAATCGACGTAAGTCCCCCTAGTCTTAATGAAGTTGAGAAAGCGTTGGGAAATCTGAAGCGAGGGGGAGCTGCAGGTCCTGATAGATTGACTCCTGAGATCTATATGTTTGGTGGTCCAGTTTTAGCTGCTAGATTGACTGAGATCTTAGGTAGAATCTGGGAACTGGACGTAATCCCATCTCACTGGTCTCAGTTGCTAATTGTCCCAATCCACAAGAAAGGACAAAAGTCTTCTGGTGACAGTTACAAGGGAATAAGTCTAACTAATATAGTTTCTAAATTGTTAGCCTCCATTATAATTAGACGTCTAACTAGAGCTCGTGAAGTGCAGAGTAGAGAAAAGCAGGCTGGTTATCGACCTGGACGTGGTTGGATAGACCACATTTTTACACTACGACAGGTCCTGCAACACAAACACACATTTAGGCGTCCTACAATAGTTGTGCTCCTGGACCTTAAGGTGGCTGTGACTCTGTGGATCGTGAAGTTCTGTGGCAGTGTCTGTCATTAAAAGGTGTACCAGAGAAGTAGATTAACCTTATACAAGCTTTCTACTGCAACACCACTGGTCGAGTGAGAGCTTATGGCGAACTGTTATCGGAACTTGTTACTTCAAGTGGTGTCCGTCAGGGCTGTCCACTCTCCCCATTCTTATTTATAATAACATTATCTTCTTCCGACTTTTCAGGAGTCGACTTTCTACCAGGAAAATCGCTTACTGACCTAGAATATGTCGACGACATAGTTCTATTTGGTGAAGACGCTGACAAAATGCAGAGTCTTCTGACTACCCTAAGCAACAATGCAAGCATGTTCGGGTTGCGATTTACCCCCTCGAAATGCAAACTGTTGCTTCAAGATTGGGTTGCATCAGCACCTGAACTAGTGATAGGGAGTGAAGTAGTCGAACTTGTAGACCGCTTCACGTATTTGGGGAATCTCATCAGTGCTGATGTCCTGGTGACTGACGAGATCTCAGCACGGATACAGAAGGCTCGATTGGCTTTTGCCAACCTGCGTCACCTATGGCGCAGGCGAGATATCCGCTTGCTAACCAAAGGACGAGTGTACCGTGCATCAGTTCGTTCCGTCCTACTATACGGGTGCGAAACATGGCCGTTAAGAGTAGAGGACTTTAGTAGGTTACTAGTCTTCGATCATCGGTGTCTTCGAAGCATTGGTCGTGTATCGTGGGACAACCGAGTAAGCAATGCTGTCGTTAGGAAACGAGTACTGGGTAGGGATGGAAATCAGTAGATGAGGTAGTGAAACTTCATCAGTTGAGGTGGTTGGGACATGTGTTACGTATGGCTAACCACCGACTGCCTCGACGAGCTATGTTTTGTGGTTTAGGAGTAGGTTGGAAGAAAGCTAGTGGTGACCAAACCAAAACATGGCACAAATCCATGAAGTCACTGACAAAGGGACTGAGTAATGTTGGAAGATGTAGACTACCTGGTTGGGGGTCCGCGAGACAAAAGTCACCGATGGTTAGAGACCTTGAACGACTTGGCTCAGAATCGTTTGCAGTGGCGCAATTGTATCCACTCTTTGTGTTCTCTCTAATTCTAACCTTCTGAATTCCTCATCATCTCCATCTTTCTCCTTCTAAATTTATCTCACTGAATTATACTTATCGAATCATATTTTCGCTCCCTAATCTTCTCCATTACTGCTAATACTTCTACTATCGCTACCACTATTGGATTTGAACTGACAGTTGCGTTTCTTTGCCGATGTGGTATGGCAACCTGAACTGATGTACTTACGTACGAAGTTTCTGCGTTGTATCTGTCTCTGGGACAACCAGTGATTGAGACCAGTCAGTTTGGATAACGCCTAGTTCCCAAATTCTACTTAAGATCTCAGTCAATTTAACTGCTAAAACTGGACCACCACCCTCGAAAATCAGGAGTTAGCTTACCCTCTGTTCTCTCTCGCTACAGATTATCTATGGTTTTATCAACTTCACAAAGAGTCGGAAGACTTACCTCGGCTTGCCATTTAGGATGACTGGAGATCGTAGTCAACTGAAGTGTAGCTGCCATAAGTTATACACCGTAAGATAAGTGTCTAGTTCTGATATTGTCATGCAAGCTCTCTTAACAATAACCTAACCGCTTGCATAATTGAAAAGAAAGCCTTTATTCGCTGACCAAACCTGCCTGTATACGTACTCATTCATATGTGTCTGTTCTTCAAACAACTAAGCCACCCATGACGTATGTCCCATTTCTCAAAAGTGCAAGTCATTTCCTAGCTAATCACATGTTCCGATCATGTGGTTGGTTACCGACTGACCCCATGTTTCACCTAATCCTTCTGAAAATAGATATAGCTTCTGAGACTCAGCTGATGACATTTCGCCAGGTACACTTCTTAATTCTCTCGCTGTGTATATTTTTATACCTGGATTTAAGCTATTGTCTATATAACGACTATTGGTGCTACCCAGGTCTGAAAGCAGAACTAGTTTTGATGTGGATCAAACCTCTGACATTTTTTAAAGTTTACTGCTTCGATCGTTAAGCCAACTCTACTAAAAACGTGAAAGGAGGGTCTGTGATTTGAAAACTGGAGTAAATGCATATGCCCAGTTGCAGCTGATTTGAGTATATAATACCACACAAACTCCCGCTAGTAAATCTGTCCTCTGCCAATAAATAGTAGCTTTGTGATCTGGTTTTTCGTTTCGTTGTTCCTTGCCATTTTTTTGTGCTCACCGTTGAGTCTCTATGCTGAGGTCACCAAGTGGGACAATATTTCCGTGATCGGAGTTTGTACATAATTACAGCGGTCAGTTATAACAGTATGCTCGTTGGTAAAATATGCTGAGAGGTTTATCTCGGTGACTTCCAGTCCTGCATCTACTTTCGAAATCACTGCTATACTTGCGATGCCACGCAAAGTTGCTAACGCATCTCCATATGTAGCAAGCGGATGCTATATTTTTTGTGTTAGCCATGGTAATCAAAATCAGAAAATGAAATTTCTACCACTTTCGTTTATCTTACGAAGTATGTGTAGATATAGCTTTATTCTTTCTGAAGTTTTACGTCTTATCTCTTAAAGACAAGCGTTTTTTTCTCTCTATTCAGGTTAGTTATTGTTTGCAAGAGTTATACAACATTCATTGTCGGCTTTTGCACATCCCACAAGGACATCAGATGAATCAGCTAGCAGCACCTACTCTTGCACAACACTTCACTTCCGGTGGAGGACCAGTTATGATTGGTGGCGGCCAATTAGCTCATACAGTTATTGGTGTTCAGCTATGTGAGTCGACTTTGAACAGCACTGAATCATCATGTCGTTACTTAATTCTTGATCCCCATTATACTGGTCCACTTGGAAATATTAAGCTTATTACCGAAAAAGGTTGGTGTGGTTGGAAACTTCAGAATTTTTGGAAATCCAGTGTACACTATAACCTTTGTCTTTTACCACCCATGAAAAGTAATTGTGTATAATTCTCAATCTTTTTATAGTAAATATTCCTTATTCTGAGATAAGCAGTAAATTCTTTATGTTCCTTTCCATGTTTATTCGCCTACTCTGAGATATTTTCGATAAAATGATTTAGTGCAAACTGTAAACATTTTTTTCGTAATAAAGGTTTATTAATTTGCCTCATCATGCTTTATTCCTGAATGACTTATTGCTTAATTAATCTATGAAATTATCCAAAGATATTAAACTGTGCAGTAATAGTAAAATATCCTCCATTTTATACTTGTTACACTTTGAAGACATTTCTTTATTAATTATGTCAGTACTGGGTTCGATTTGTTTTATTACTCTGAAAACCTGAAAGTTTTTCGTTGACATGTAATCTAATTGTTAAAAATATGATTCGTTTAGTATCAAAATTAGAGTTAAATTGAACTTTATTTACCGTACCGTTTTATTTATTTGCTAAGAAAAATCAGATTGTTGATCTCAATCGACAAAGGTTAATCAACCAATAATATTTGAGTGAGATGCTTACCACTTCAGACTTATTCAATCCCAGATAAGTTATTACTCTAAAACTTTTTATTTAACTACCAAGCATGAAATTGCACCAGTTGTATAAACATGACTAAACCTTGGCTATTGATTTATTTTGTTATATCCCTGCTACTGTTCTGTATGTGTGTTTACTATTCTCTTTCTAACTGACTACTACTTTCCGGTTTCGTACTAATCTTATTTATTTACATTTTAGAAAAATTGTCAGTAACACTTATAGTTACCTGTTTTGACCATAGCCATGCCAAGTTAAGACTCAGTGCGACAGTATATGGACTTGTTCAAGAAATTCATCTGTAGGCAAATATAATCCTACATTGATCGTTGCCGAAAGTGACAAAATAACGCTGTCACTTAGGAAGGTTCACCTCACATTTCCAACCTCATATTCCTATAATATTATGGAAGCCCAATCGATTTGATAATGTACCAAATTTCTGAAAAGAGGAAGGGCAACGAACTCATTACGTCGAGAAATAGAGAAGGACATGAGAAGAATGAGCAGGAATTGGACAGGACTGGAAGTGCAAGCCTAGACGGAGTAGGTTGGAGAATACTGGTCGGCGGCCTATGACTGATTGGGGGTTAACAGCCGTAAGTAAGTAAGCAAAAGTAACCAAGTTTCTGAAGTAACGGAACTGATTCATTTACGAAATAGCCTTTACACGATCACGCTTTCTGGAAAGATGAAAGTTAGTAGTAAACCTAACGTCGCCAACCAGTTTTCCCGAACAATAGATTTCTAGCGATTGTTACTAGTATTCACCCGTCTTATATTTTCGTCTGGTAGTGTCATTCCAAAGCAATAAATTCTTAATTCCATGCGATGAAACCCAGGAGACTACCTGTCGAAACGCTTCCATGAAAGTAGTCTGAATATAACCAAGAGGGCATTCAACACAGTTCAAAATCCTGAGTTTTTAGCGTCGGTCAGTCCATCAGCTACACCGCAAAAAATCGAACATCAGTTCAAGTTATCATTCCACAGCAAATCCCACAGTGGTAGAGCTAGCAGAAGTATTCGTGGTAATGGCGAAGATTAGGGTTCGAAGATATTATTCAAGAAGTACAATTGAGTGATATAACTTTAGAAAGAGAATGATAGAGGTGATGAGGAATTCAGAAGATTAGAATTCGAGAAAACAGAGAGAGAGTGGATACACCTGCGAAACTGTTGACGATTTTGAGTCATGTCGTTCAAGGTTTCTAACCATCGGTTACTATTGTCTCGCGGACCCCAACCAAGTAGTCTCATCTACCAACAGATTCAGTGCACTTGTCAGTGACTTCATGGATTTGTGCCATGTCCCAGGGTGAGTGAAGCGGTCAACACGCTCAACCGCTTCACTGCCTATCACTAGTTCAGGTGCCTATGTAAGCCAATCTTGAAGCAAGATTTTGCATTTCGACGGGGAGAATCGCATCTCGAACATGCTTGCATTGTGTTGCTTAGACTAGTCAGAAGACTGCATTTTGTTAGCGTATTCACGAAATAGAACTATGTCATCGGCATTTTCTACGTCAACAAGCGAATCGCCTGATAGAACGTCACCTCTAAAAAGTCAGACGAAGTTAATGTTAACTCTAAACGTAGGTCTACGACAAAGTTAAACAAAAATGGAGAGAGTGGACAGCCCTGATGGACACCACTTAAAGTAACCAATTCCGATGACTGTTCGTCGTAAGCTCTAACTCGACTAGTAGTGTTAGAGTAGAGAGCTTGTCTAAATTTAATGTACTCCTTTGGTGCATCTTTTAATGACAGAAACTGCCATAAAATCACACAATCAACATGGTCAAATGCCGCTTTAAGGTTGAGAAATACTACTATTATGGGACGTCTAAACGTGTGTCTGTGTTCTAAAACCTGACGTACTATGAATGTCAGGTCTGTACTTCCACGTCCAGGTCTGAAACTAGCCTGATTTTCTCTAGTCTGCTCTCCACGATCTCTGGTTAGGCGTTGAAGTATTATCGAGAGTAACATTTGATACACTATATTAGTTAGACTGATTCCTCTGTGGTCGTCACAATAGGACTTTCGTCCTTTTTTATAGATTTGGACAACCTGACCGTAGCTGCTACTTTGACGTGGTGGTCCGGCTTGCCTATCATGATGATCCAACCGAGCTACATTGGCTGCAGCGTATGTTCCTGAAGGTTCTACCATGCCAGCCAGGTTGATTAGAGAATGATGAGATTAAAAGCAGCTACTCAAGGTCTGAGGGCGAAGTGGTACTGCTTACTCTAGAGAAGTGTGACAGCAGTAAGTTGTTTCCCTCGGACAACCAGCATCTGCAGCGATGCTGCCTTCTCACAAGGAAGGACGGGTTAGAAAAGGTCGATCCTAAAACTCTCACGCCTCACCCTACCTCACGGATTTCCGTCACCGTCGGTAAGGGTGCCCACTAAAGGCCTTTAAGAGCGGAGATAACACTCAAAAATCCTTTCATTAATAGGCCCTGCGTGACCGGCCTCAAGCAGTTGTCCTTTGGGCTCTGCGACACACTTTCATGTCTCTAAGACCAACAGTAATGTACCTTCTTTTTCATATGCTTGAATTTAGTACTTGTAAGAAATAGATAGTTGAAACAGACGGTTGCCATTATCCTTTTGCCGTGTCACAAAACCATAAGGCCCACCTAGGAGTCTTTTAGTCTCGCTTAGTTTTCCTACTTGAGCATTGAAATCACCAGCCAGTGTTACTACATCATATCGCCTAACATTATGAAGCAGTTTAGAATATTTTGGAGAGACCTCATCTTGCTCATTTGAGCGGCAGTCAGTTGGAACGTAGGCAGAGACAACAAAGAGGCAGTGGCATGTCCCTATCTTTTCGAGTGCTTACTGTCCCATTTGTTCGAACGGTGCAGAAGACTGGGTTGCAGTTTTGGCCATCTAGTTCTGCCCTAGAACTCAGCTATACCTACAGCAGCAAGGCAACGGAAAGCAGCGTCAGGACTCCTAGATACAGGGAGCATAAACTGAGTTGTTTCCTTATTTGGACAAAATGAAGTCCAATCAATCATTGTACTCGGATCCTGTATACGCGTTTCGGAGACCCAGCATACATTGATAGCGCTAGATTTGAAATTCCTAGTTATGTAAGCATGTTGTCCTATTCGGTATAAATTTTGAACATCAAAATCTCCAATTTGAAGTTCAGAACGTGGATTCTGGGGACCAGGAATAACGTTTCACGTACTCAAATTGTTTGCATTAGTGGCGCGAGGTGATAAATTAAAGTGAGGATGATTGGCCATGGAGGTAAGAATGATATTAAAATGTCTAGGGGGAGTATTAGATTCTGACTAGTTTGGTCTAATATGTGGATGTTACTCCCCAGCTGCCCAATCCAGGGAAGGGTGTTTCTTGAGTAAGCTGGAGAAGTTGGATTAGCGCTGGTTTCAGTGACCTGAGAGCGCTACTGCAGGGCCCAAGGGACAACTGCTTGAGGCCGACTACGCACGTCCATTTTATAGGAAGTTAACATGTTCGCTACACCTTTCAAATGGCCTTACCGCCGGAGACGGGAATCCATGAGGTAAGGTTAGGTGTGACATTTTAAGGTCGACCTTTTCTAACCTCTCATACCCGCAACAGCACGTGAGACCGAATTGGTTACAAACAAATCCTTTTTACACCCCGTAACATCTATCTTTCCTCCACGACTAACTCTTCTCACATTACTTTATCACACCGTACCGCTAATGCAAACGAGACGTTATTCCTGGTCTCCTGAAACCTCGTTTTAAATTACATATCGGAGACCTTGAACGACATGGCTCAAAATCGTTAACAGTGGCGCATATGCATCCACTCTTTGTGTTCTATCAAATCCTAACCTTCTGGATTCGTCAACACCTCTACCTTTGTCTATCTAAACTTATCTCACTGAATTGTACTTCTCGAATCATATCTTCGAACCCTATTCTTCCTAATTACTGCTAATACTTCTGCTATCTCTACCACTATGGTATTTGAATTAACAATCGCGTCTCTGCTAATTTGGTATGGCAACTTGAACTGATGTACTTACATACGAAGTTCTACTTTGCAACTGACTGATACAGAACTGTTCGTTCATAATCATTCTACTGAGTATACTGAGGCGGTTCGCGTTACTTTTTGTGGTGTGAGGGGTTCATGTATGTCTGCACCTGAGATTTTTTATTCCATTCTGTTGTTCTGATCTGTTCCGAGTCCTTAAGTCTCAGTGATTGCTAAATTTTCTGTTCCTGATTGGTCACTGTGATGACCTATATTTCCTTTATCACTTTTGATATGTGGTTCTGAAAGAAAAATGTGTTTGTTGATCAAGCGTGGACAACCATGCAAAGCCTGCTGGCTATTATGCATGTGATTTCATTCCCACTTCTTGATATCTACTTCGGACTCACTGAATGTGACTGCTTTTAATTCTGTAGAATATTTTTTTATCATTAGATCTGTTTCTCTA